ATTCATATTCTGAGCCTGCTTCTCATATAACAAATAGAGTTTCTTTTATTGTTGAAATAGAGAAATCTTGCAGAAGCATGTTCAATTTCTTAAATATATTGAAACTTTAAACACAAAATTTGTCGAAGTTGATATCTCATATATCAAGAATCAGAGATGATATCATGCTATAATCTGCTTTGTTGTTTATTTTGCTTCACCTTCTTTAAAATTGCCTTGCTGTGTATTAAAGCACTGCTCCACTTGTATAACCAAGCATATTTTTTCTTATAAATAATGCCTACTTATCATGTAATTATCGGAATAATAATAAGCAATTCAATTTATTTTCTATTTTGATATTCAGTATTTGAGTCAATATTCGGATTTTATCCAGTTCCGACAGAAATAGAATCTATAAAGAAGCAAGAATGAGAGCTTTTAAATGACATACAAAGATTACAAATTAATCATCAGCAGTTAAATTAAAAATCAATATGAAAATTCAAAAAAATCACAAATAAATTATCTTGTGAAAAAGATAGTGAAATTGATTGATGACAGTGAAGATGTATGTATGTATGTATAGGTTTAACGTCCCGGCGAAAACACGGGCAGCGCCCGTGTTTCAGAAGCCTCCCGAAGGGCATGGAGACATGCTACGCTGGAGAGATTTCTATGTACACAGAGAGAGAGAGAAAACAGAATCCAGGTGGCAACTCTTGAGAAGACTCAGCTCATTGCAAAGGATTTTTCTGAGCTGCGCATCCACTTCTGGCCCGACGTATGGCCATTCATGGTGGGGCTATAGTGTGGTTCCCTGAGGGGACCGCCGCTGCCGTGCCTGGAAGGCTTTATAGTGAGCAGAGAGGGATACCTCTCTCAGTTGATCAGAAAGCTGTCTGTGCTTCTAACATCAGAAGAAAGACAGACAAGATAAATAATGAAGGAGAGAGCACTGAAGAAGGTTATGACAGGAAAAGAGCAGAGAATGACAGAGAGAGCAAAGAAAAGAAGGAAGAAGAAGCATTTGAGCCGATAGAGACAAGGGCAAACGAGAGGAAAACAAAGCAGAGCACGCGTAGATACAATGCCGGCAGTCAAAACCATATCAGCTGAGTCAGATACGTAGGCTGTACTGATTACACCACAGCCAATTGAGACAGATGAGCCTAGTTGTGCTATCTGTACTGTCTGCATAGACTGTGATGTCCCTGGCAGTTGCACTAGCTACCGTGGGTGTACTCAGCAGGCCGGCCTCGTGGAACTGCTGCGGGGGTTGTCAGATGGTGTGCAGCCAGCCGGCTGCGTTACCTTGTGCAGTACTGTGTGTAGAACTGCGTGCAGTCCAGCAGTTCTACAAAGTCTGTAGGGGTCAGAGACCCTAGATAGGCAACAGCTGTCGCCCGGTTGTGTGGCCGTGCTGCTGGCCTCTTGGGCCAGTGAAGAAGGTGCCTCTGTGAGTGTCGACAGAGCATCAAATGTTCTGGGCTCTTGTTGTGTCCACAGACACAGGTGAGCCTCGCATCTGCATGCTGGAAACGCCTGTGGTACCAGGAGAAGTCCCCATGAGAGGAGCGGAGTGCGAGCCAGCGGTGAAGGGCATGCCGTGGCATGGTGAGCTCCGGAGGGGCCTTCACTTGGTATTCCACAGTCGGCCTGCTGAAACTCCAGCCCCGGTACCAGTCAGAGAGCTTGCCACAGGCTCCACTCCACCACTTTCGCCTTGCCTCTTGGCTGAGCTGCTTGGCCACTGTGCGGACCCCACTGACTGTGGGTGTGGCCTCGAGACCATAGGCTGGGGCTGCAGTGGATGAGACTGCCCGCTTAGCCAAGCGGTCTGCTTCCTCATTGCCCTCTATCCCCATATGCCCAGGAGCCCATTTCAGGCCGACATTGTGCTGTCTGAGGAGCTCATGGCAGCGGTTGTAGGCCCAGTTTGAGGAGGCTGCTGCACTGCCCCGTATGCCCCAGATGACTGAGGTGTTGTCGAGGCAGAGCCAGATCTGAGGGTTGCTGCTGTCCTCTGTGACACAAGGTAGGAGCTTCACGGCGCACTCCAATGCCCGGCAGGCACCAACTGCCTCAGCGTCGAAGACATGTGACATAGGGCTCAGCGCAGCTGAGAAGCTGGCCAGCTGTTTATTTCCCTGATAGACTATGAAGCCATAGCCCACCTGCCTGCTGTTGTCAAGGCTCCGTTCTGATCCATCTGAGAAAACATATAGATCTATTGAGGGTTGACTTCTCCACCATTCCTTGAATGCCTGAGCAGCACTCTTTTTGTCTACACCCTCTGTGGGGTCTGTCCCGCATCCCTCTGAGTAGTGTGGGATGGCAAGTGTGGGTCTATTGACTGCAGGTAGCAGCGCCCCCAACCGCTGGATCTTGGTCTTTGAGCGCTGCCGGGTTCCAGCCCCTCTTCCTCGTGTGATCATTGGAGGTGCTATCCGTGAAGCCAGTGGGTGCTTCTCATCCACCACCTGAAGCCTTGTCGCGAATCGCATTTTGGCCTCCTCCAGAGCTACCATTGCTGATGGGAGCCCAGCATCCCGGTATAGGGTAGCAATGGGCGTTGTACGGAAAACTGGGAGGACCCCCCTGGCTGCCATAGTAAGCACCTTCTCAACTGTCCCCACATGCCATCCCAGGCGGGAGCTAACCTCCCCACTCCTGCCCGTGTGCCTTGCTGGCTGCGTGCGGCCGCCGTACCAGGCCTCTGTGCCATAGAGCAGTGAGGGAACCACGCAGGTGGTGACCGCCTTCCGCAGAGCGTCTGCTGGGGGCCCGTCTCTGGTCTTTCCCAGACTCCGGATGTGCTGGGCCACGGCCCTTGCCTTCTTTGCCCGGGTGGAGACATGTGGTCTCCAGGTGAGCCTTCTGTCGAAGTGTACACCCAGCCAGCGAAGTGCTGGCTCCTGTCCAGCTGGGGCAGTAACAGGGTGAACAGTGAGGTCCTCAGACACAACTACTGCTGGTGCCTCATTGTGTCGTTTTCTTGTAAGATGGATCATCTCAAGTTTCTCTGGTGCGAAGGCCACCTTGTTTATCTCCCCCCACCTCAGAATACTCTGTATATCCTGTCTGAGAAGGGTGGCATTGTTGTCAAGTGAGTGGGTCGCCCGCCAGATGTTCAGATCATCCGCATAGCCAAAGCGCAACTCCGAGTTTTGCCACAGCAGCTCTGCCAGGTACAGAAGGAACAGTATTGGTGACAAAGGAGACCCCTGTGGCGTGCCACATTGCATCTGATGTGCTGCTGTGGTGGTCCCCTCCAGCCGGACCTGAGCTCTGCGTTCAGTGAGGAAACTGTCAATGAGCTGCAGCAGCTCGCGTGGCCACCCCTGCTGCGCCATCCGCTGAAGCAGCCGCCTGCGCAGCACAGCATCAAAGGCACCCTGCACATCCATTGTGACCATGGACACTTCCTTGTTTTGTGCGAAGGCTGCCTCCACCTCATGAGTGAAAGCAGCTACCAGGTCCATTGCAGATCGTCTGGGCAGCGCCCCCCCATGCTGTGGGCTGACTATGCCGTGTACGCCAGTCGCCTTGCAATGATGCGTTTCAGCCCTTTGGAGATTACTGAAAGCAGGGCAATGGGCCTCTCAGGAGCGGACTGAGCTTCTATCCCCTCTTACCCACCTTGGGTATCATTGCCACCTCTGCCAGTTTCCAGGCTCGTGGGAAGTGGCAGAGCCGGAGGCAGCAGTTGTATAGCTGCTGTATAAAGAGGGACACATGCTGCCAGCATGCTTTGAGCATCCGCACTGTGATTCCATCCGTGCCTGGGGAGGTGCTCTGTACCCCAATGGTGTTGCGCTCCATCTCCTCCATCTCAATCCGGGGGTTCCAGGGCAGGTTCCCCATGCCGCTCTAGTGCTCATCATCCAGTGGGTCATACTCCAGATCATCAGCTGAGTTGTATCGCTTCAGAATTGCCTGTTGAAGTGCCTCAGCTTTGGCGGCTGTCTCTTCTATGACCTGATCCCCAATCACCAGAGGGGGTGCTCTGAGGTTGGGTTCCAGCTTATGCCATGCCACCACCCGGTACAGGTCTCTACCATCTCTGGCCTCATTGATCACCTGCCTCCAGTATGCACGCTTGGCCTTGCGCACTGCATCCTTGAACTGGTGCTTCGCGGCCTCTGTCTGGTGAGTAGTGAGCTCTCGGTGCGCTCTTCGGCAGTCTGCTGTCCACCAGGGGGCTGTGGTCCGCCCTTGTTGAGCTGGCTTACTGACTGCCTGAGCTGCAGCCAGAAGACTCTGAGTGAAGTGCTGGGCCAGATCATCAAGCTGTGCCACATTTCCAACCCTCTCTGGGCAAGGCATGTCCACCATGAGACCTCTGACAAGATCTGCAAAGGGCTCCAGCTGAGAGTCTGTGATCTTGATCCGAGCATCACTCAGCTGTGTTTGAGGTGTTGTTGGCAGCATAGTGATCATAGACTGGTGATCTGAGCCGCAGTGTAGATCTTGACGCACTGTAGTGGAAGCAAAGGCCACATTGGAGAAGGTGAGATCAATCACATGACCTGCTGCATGAGTCGGAACCCCTATCTCTCCCACAAAGTCCATCCCATGTTCACTGGCCCATTGGACAAGCTCCCCGCCCCGGTGCAGATTCACTGCCCCTGGTTCAAAGGCATCATGCCGTACGTTGATATCCCCACCTATCAGACAGCGGGCTGGTGGGCTCAGATTGGTCAGATAGTCCATGACTGCGTCTGTCCCAGGCTGGCTGTACACATTGAGAATGTGGCAGCCATTTACGCTGACCCATAGCAGATCCCTGCTTTGTACAGACCGGTGTTGCTGTGCCCTTGTCTTTGAGCCCTTGCGTACATATGTCATGACCCGGGGCCTCTCCTCCTCTCGCTGCTCCGGGTTAGTGTCATCCCAGCGGTCTATAGGCGCAAAGCACTCATACGCTGGGTGGTTAGAAGTCTTGGTGCCAGGGTGTGTGTATGGCTCCTGTATACAGATCACTTCACAGCCCTGCTCGAAAGCAAGCTGCAGAGCTGCTGTGTGACAGGGGGCTGCCCTGGCCGTATTTGCCCAGAAGACCTGCAGGGGGCGATTTTCCTGCTGGTTGTTCCTGCGGCGCCAGCCGCGTCGCTGATGTTGGTGTCCTAGCATGAGGAGTCACTTGGTGAGCTGCTTCCGAAGTCCACCTGCGGGATGAGGTTGAAGACCTCCAGACCTGCCATCTGCATGCTGGAGTCAGACTGTTCTTTAGCTGCTTGGCTGTGCTGCCGCGCTGCTGTGCGAGCTGAGCGTCGCCTGGTGCGGGCCATCTGCCAGGTGGCACCCTCCTCACTGATGGAACTCTGAGTCGCCGCCCGCTTGCGGGGTGCTAGCCCAGCGGGCTGTGTTGACTGGGTTGACTGAGCGGTTGGTGTAGGCACCACCACTGCGACCATTGGTGCTGGCTGTGCTGGCGGCGGTTGCCGCTCCTGAGCATCCCTGTGGCACTTGTCGCCAAGGCGGCAAACAGCTGCTAGCTCTTTTTGAGTTAGGCGCCTGAGGGTGCCATTCACGCGCCTGGGTGCGGCAGGGCAGTGCTGATGCCCAGCTGGGTAGGGTTGGCAGCAGTTGGCACATCTTGGCGCTCTCTTGCACTCCGCGCCTGTTGGCCCCTCATGCTGGCTTGTGGGCTCACTGCAGTTGGAGCATCTTGCCAGTCGCGCACACTTTGGTGGGTGGCAGAACCCCTGGCATCCTGGGTTATGTCTCACTGTCAAAGGCCGTTTCTCAATCAGCCTGGCCCTCTCACTGGCATTGAAGAGTGAGAAGCCTTTTACCGGGGCAAGGAAGGAGACAATCCATGTAATCTTCCCTGTCTTGGGGTTCACCCCATGACGCGAGGGTCGACAGCTCACTGGCTTTACCTTTGCCTGAGCCAGAACCTCTCCCTCAATCATCTTGTCTGTGGGGATTCTTGCCCCTTCCCAGTCCTGGACAAATTCTGGGACCCCTGGGACAGCATAATTGTACCACCGCTCTGGTAGCCGGATCTCCGTGGCCGCCAAGGACTTCACAGAGAGTAGCCACTGCCTTCTCAGTGGTCAGAGCGTCGCGTATGCCTCTGTCGCTTGGTGTGATCGCCCAAACAGTTGAAGAATGAAAGTCTTTATAAAGACTTAATTATTATTATTATTATTATTTTTCTGTTATACTCGTATGCAAGCAGTGCTTATGACGAGTTCTTGTGTAATGTTAAATACAAGCAAGAGTTGGTTATATAGAAGGAATACTTAGTGTTGAATGATGTTAAATATAACAGAAACATAGAAAAATTAATGAAAGACAGAATTTGATACTCATGATACAGATTTCCAACTCAGAAACAATAAACTAAATCAGATGGTAGATTCATCTGAAGTTATCTACTTGACAAGTTCACATCCCTTTATTTTAGAAGCTGAGAAATTGGCTCCGGATGTAATGTTGTCCCCTTGTGGGTTTCAAACCCACGCGCCTTGGGTCCCCACGCCAAGGCACTATCCGGTGGCTGCATTATTCATTCGGCCACCGGGGCTATAGAGACTTGAATTTAAAGTTCTGATATTTTGACTCATCAACAATACAATACTCCTACAAAGCGGTGAAATACACTATATTCAACACTTTTCAAAGCAGAAATATTCAATGATAATCAATATTATATTGTTTTACTTAAAAAGCTGTCATTGTAGCTGACTTACGCGTTTTCTTTAATCCCTTTTAATTATATTTGATGCATTTGATGAGATATTGTCCGACTCAGTTGTTAAAAGAAAGTGTTATATGATTGATTTAAAAGTTGTCAAAAGATCTCAGAAGTTGTTAAAAATTCAGAAATGTTATTAAAAGTTGATATATTATGTGAAATTATCACGAATTTAGAAATTGTCAGAAATTGTTAAAAATTGTTAGAAATTGTTGAAAAATACATTCAATGTTTTGACTAAAGTCTCTAATGACTGAATAGATGTTTTGATGGCAAAATCAAGGCATTGAATAATTAAACATGATCATGGTTGAAAAAAATTAGCAAATCATTCCTGTGTTCAAAATCGTAGTAGCAGTTTTCAATACGATACTTCATATTCAGAATATATATATTTTCAGATAAAAATTACATCAATTGATAGAAAATTAAAAAATTAACTTTTCAAGATGATAGAAAAATGATCTATAAATGATGTTGTATAATGATTTTATTTCAAACATAATGATTGGAGCAAATCATTTCTGTATTATTAATAAACAGAAATCATTTTTTCTCAGACACTCTGTAAAGAGTCTGCTGGAAATATCTCATTAAGATTTAGTGTAAGCTCTGTGACAGTTGATTGGCTCAGATGTTAATAGAACTTGGTAGAAAGTAGCAGTAATTCAGATTAAGTTAACTCAGAGTAAAGTGGCTGAGTTTATTGAAATAAACAATGAAAAGATCAACCATTTCATATAACTATGTTATTTTTATTTAGATAATTAACAATCATACAACCAATGTTATCCTTCTACAGTTTCATTTCAATAATTAATTGAAATTAGATCAAATAGATTATATAAATTATCAATACAGAAGATCTCTCATATCATTCAGTAGTTATATATATTTTATACGCTAAAATACTCATTAAAAAATTGCCGGTACACCGAGCCGGTGATCCGATGGCTTGTCAAGTAGCAATTTGAGATCGGATGACTATAAATATCTGACTTTTTGAAGTTCTATAATAATTTTTCTTCAGAGAATAGAAGGGGGAAAATATAATATTTTTTTTCACAAGTCTTCATCAAAAATAATTAAGAAAAGATCTATTAGTCAATTATTTTTACATTTTTTTACTATGTTTATAATAAATAAGATATTTCATTTTTTAAACTTCACTTTTTTTCTTTTAAGCATTTTTAATGTACATGTACAAGCATACGGAGTAATGGTATGTGTCTTTGATTTCTTTATTATTTTTAATTCACTTGTTAATTTATAATAATTATAGAAATCTCATCTAGCAGCAACTTCGACGCTGTCTACAATTATTAACAATATGAAAGGCAACGATGATGGATTTTTTCATCTCGATAATACGGGGATTTTGCGATCTTTCAACAGGCACAATGAAGTAATTGACTACCAGAAACTTTCAAAGGAAGATTTTAATACGCTAAGTAAAATATACTTGAACAAGGCGAAAGATTCTTTTAAACATTGGTCAGAGAGTAGCTCTTTAATTGATGATAGCGAAATTTGGAATCCATTCCATGATCGTATTCCTTCGTTTCAATTATCCGAACTTGAAGCCAACAGAGAAAGTATGGGATTGCAGTCACGTAAACTGAATATTTTGTCACCATACCGTGACCTTTGCACACCTCTTATGTGCCTTGTGAACAGTGACTGCCCTCGCCAGGAGCCGAAGTGTAAGTGGTGTATTGAACAAGATATAGGTGATGTCTGGGTCGGACATTGTATTGAGTAGCAATAAAAATTACAAACGCTGTTTTCTGTTGTCATCTGTGAAAAGTGATATATCTATCTAGTATTCTGATGATTACATTAGCAAAGATCATCCTTACAACTACCCACGAACGTAGGGGTACATTTGAATTTTCCACTTTTCCAACTGTTTTTCGTATAATTTTAACCCTCCAACCCGTTCAATATCATCGCACGCCCTCTGCGATCTCTCTACGTGTGTGTACTGCACAGGTTGAGTGGTCATGGAGCCCTCAACGCCCTCCCGTCCGCCCAAGGACATCGAAACGGCCTACACCAGGCCACTGGAGCCGGAGTCACCGGCCAATTTTGTCGCTGGAAAGGCTGGCAAGAGGTAGAGGAAGACTGTCACAATGCCTCCCCCAGTCCTTAAAGGAGCCAGCGACAGCATCCCCACGGCCACCTCTCGGCTGCAGAAGCAGTTTGAGGAGGCTCAGCAGCAACAGAACCTGCAGCAGAAGGCTCTCATCAGATTGGCGAAGACTCTGGACAGCTGGGTTGAGGAGGAGAAGCAGCCAGTCAGTCAGAACTTTGCCCGAATCTTCTGTGAGAAGTTTGTCAAGTATGTGACAGCAGATCTGAATGCAGCATCAATTCTGAGAGGGGGTGCTGCCCCGGATACTCATCCGCAGCCAAATGCAGAAAGACAGCGGCGAGGGAGCCGACTACCTGGGCGGGTGTTGCTCAGAGGGGGAAAAACTCTGCCCTCCCTGGGGTTGCCCCTGCCAAGACTGCGGCTTCCTCGGCAGGCAGGGCTAGTGGAGCTAGCCTGCAGCCCAAAAGCGCCAGTCAGCCAGGGGGCCCCACAGGGGGCACAAAACCGCAGGAGGACCCACGAGTCCTCGTCACCCTCCAGCCAGGGAAACGGGTCGCCCGGCTACAGCCATATGCTGTGCGGCAGGCAATCGCTGCAAACATTCAGGGGGTGGGGGATGTGGCCAATGTGCCGAAGGTGGAGCCCACCAGGACAGGTTGGGCGATCACACCAAGCAACAGAGGCATACGCGATGCTCTGACCACTGAGAAGGCAGTGGCTACTCTCTGTGAAGTCCTTGGCGCCACGGAGATCCGGCTACCAGAGCGGTGGTACAATTATGCTGTCCCAGGGGTCCCAGAATTTGTCCAGGACTGGGAAGGGGCAAGAATCCCCACAGACAAGATGATTGAGGGAGAGGTTCTGGCTCAGGCAAAGGTAAAGCCAGTGAGCTGTCGACCCTCGCGTCATGGGGTGAACCCCAAGACAGGGAAGATTACATGGATTGTCTCCTTCCTTGCCCCGGTAAAGGGCTTCTCACTCTTCAATGCCAGTGAGAGGGCCAGGCTGATTGAGAAACGGCCTTTGACAGTGAGACATAACCCAGGATGCCAGGGGTTCTGCCACCCACCAAAGTGTGCGCGACTGGCAAGATGCTCCAACTGCAGTGAGCCCACAAGCCAGCATGAGGGGCCAACAGGCGCGGAGTGCAAGAGAGCGCCAAGATGTGCCAACTGCTGCCAACCCTACCCAGCTGGGCATCAGCACTGCCCTGCCGCACCCAGGCGCGTGAATGGCACCCTCAGGCGCCTAACTCAAAAAGAGCTAGCAGCTGTTCGCCGCCTTGGCGACAGGTGCCACAGGGATGCTCAGGAGCGGCAACCGCCGCCAGCACAGCCAGCACCAATGGTCGCAGTGGTGGTGCCTACACCAACTGCTCAGTCAACCCAGTCAACACAGCCCGCTGGGCTAGCACCCCGCAAGCGGGCGGCGACTCAGAGTTCCATCAGTGAGGGGGGTGCCACCTGGCAGATGGCCCGCACCAGGCGACGCTCAGCTCGCACAGCAGTGCGGCAGCACAGTCAAGCAGCTAAAGAACAGTCTGACTCCAGCATGCAGACGGCAGGTCTGGAGGCCTTCAACCTCATCCCGCAGGTGGACTTCGGCAGCAGCTCACCAAGTGACTCCTCATGCTAGGACACCAACACCAGCGACGCGGCTGGCGCCGCAGGAACAACCAGCAGGAAAATCGCCCCCTGCAGGTCTTCTGGGCAAATACGGCCAGGGCAGCCCCCTGTCACACAGCAGCTCTGCAGCTTGCTTTCGAGCAGGGCTGTGAAGTGGTCTGTATACAGGAGCCATACACACACCCTGGCACCAAGACTTCTAACCACCCAGCGTATGAGTGCTTTGCGCCTATAGACCGCTGGGATGACACTAACCCGGAGCAGCGAGAGGAGGAGAGGCCCCGGGTCATGACATATGTACGCAAGGGCTCAAAGACAAGGGCACAGCAACACCGGTCTGTACAAAGCAGGGATCTGCTATGGGTCAGCGTAAATGGCTGCCACATTCTCAATGTGTACAGCCAGCCTGGGACAGACGCAGTCATGGACTATCTGACCAATCTGAGCCCACCAGCCCGCTGTCTGATAGGTGGGGATATCAACGTACGGCATGATGCCTTTGAACCAGGGGCAGTGAATCTGCACCGGGGCGGGGAGCTTGTCCAATGGGCCAGTGAACATGGGATGGACTTTGTGGGAGAGATAGGGGTTCCGACTCATGCAGCAGGTCATGTGATTGATCTCACCTTCTCCAATGTGGCCTTTGCTTCCACTACAGTGCGTCAAGATCTACACTGCGGCTCAGATCACCAGTCTATGATCACTATGCTGCCAACAACACCTCAAACACAGCTGAGTGATGCTCGGATCAAGATCACAGACTCTCAGCTGGAGCCCTTTGCAGATCTTGTCAGAGGTCTCATGGTGGACATGCCTTGCCCAGAGAGGGTTGGAAATGTGGCACAGCTTGATGATCTGGCCCAGCACTTCACTCAGAGTCTTCTGGCTGCAGCTCAGGCAGTCAGTAAGCCAGCTCAACAAGGGCGGACCACAGCCCCCTGGTGGACAGCAGACTGCCGAAGAGCGCACCGAGAGCTCACTACTCACCAGACAGAGGCCGCGAAGCACCAGTTCAAGGATGCAGTGCGCAAGGCCAAGCGTGCATACTGGAGGCAGGTGATCAATGAGGCCAGAGATGGTAGAGACCTGTACCGGGTGGTGGCATGGCATAAGCTGGAACCCAACCTCAGAGCACCCCCTCTGGTGATTGGGGATCAGGTCATAGAAGAGACAGCCGCCAAAGCTGAGGCACTTCAACAGGCAATTCTGAAGCGATACAACTCAGCTGATGATCTGGAGTATGACCCACTGGATGATGAGCACTGGAGCGGCATGGGGAACCTGCCCTGGAACCCCCGGATTGAGATGGAGGAGATGGAGCGCAACACCATTGGGGTACAGAGCACCTCCCCAGGCACGGATGGAATCACAGTGCGGATGCTCAAAGCATGCTGGCAGCATGTGTCCCTCTTTATACAGCAGCTATACAACTGCTGCCTCCGGCTCTGCCACTTCCCACGAGCCTGGAAACTGGCAGAGGTGGCAATGATACCCAAGGTGGGTAAGAGAGATAGAAGCTCAGTCCGCTCCTGGAGGCCCATTGCCCTGCTTTCAGTAATCTCCAAAGGGCTGGAACGCATCATTGCAAGGCGACTGGCGTACACGGCACTCATTCACGGCATAGTCAGCCCACAGCATGGGGGGGCGCTGCCCAGACGATCTGCAATGGACCTGGTAGCTGCTTTCACTCATGAGGTGGAGGCAGCCTTCGCACAAAACAAAGAAGTGTCCATGGTCACAATGGATGTGCAGGGTGCCTTTGATGCTGTGCTGCGCAGGCGGCTGCTTCAGCGGATGGCGCAGCAGGGGTGGCCACGCGAGCTGCTGCAGCTCATTGACAGTTTCCTCACTGAACGCAGAGCTCAGGTCCGGCTGGAGGGGACCACCACAGCAGCACATCAGATGCAATGTGGCACGCCACAGGGGTCTCCTTTGTCACCAATACTGTTCCTTCTGTACCTGGCAGAGCTGCTGTGGCAAAACTCGGAGTTGCGCTTTGGCTATGCGGATGATCTGAACATCTGGCGGGCGACCCACTCACTTGACAACAATGCCACCCTTCTCAGACAGGATATACAGAGTATTCTGAGGTGGGGGGAGATAAACAAGGTGGCCTTCGCACCAGAGAAACTTGAGATGATCCATCTTACAAGAAAACGACACAATGAGGCACCAGCAGTAGTTGTGTCTGAGGACCTCACTGTTCACCCTGTTACTGCCCCAGCTGGACAGGAGCCAGCACTTCGCTGGCTGGGTGTACACTTCGACAGAAGGCTCACCTGGAGACCACATGTCTCCACCCGGGCAAAGAAGGCAAGGGCCGTAGCCCAGCACATCCGGAGTCTGGGAAAGACCAGAGACGGGCCCCCAGCAGACGCTCTGCGGAAGGCGGTCACCACCTGCGTGGTTCCCTCATTGCTCTATGGCACAGAGGCCTGGTACGGCGGCCGCACGCAGCCAGCAAGGCACACGGGCAGGAGTGGGGAGGTTAGCTCCCGCCTGGGATGGCATGTGGGGACAGTTGAGAAGGTGCTTACTATGGCAGCCAGAGGGGTCCTCCCAGTTTTCCGTACAACGCCCATCGCTACCCTATACCAGGATGCTGGGCTCCCATCAGCAATGGTAGCTCTGGAGGAGGCCAAAATTCGATTCGCGACAAGGCTTCAGGTGGTGGATGAGAAGCACCCACTGGCTTCACGGATAGCACCTCCAATGATCACACGAGGAAGAGGGGCTGGAACCCGGCAGCGCTCAAAGATCAAGATCCAGCGGTTGGGGGCGCTGCTACCTGCAGTCAATAGACCCACACTTGCCATCCCACACTACTCAGAGGGATGCGGGACAGACCCCACAGAGGGTGTAGACAAAAAGAGTGCTGCTTAGGCATTCAAGGAATGGTGGAGAAGTCAACCCTCAACAGATCTATATGTTTTCTCAGATGGATCAGAACGGAACCTTGACAACAGCAGGCAGGTGAGCTATGGCTTCATAGTCTATCAGGGACATAAACAGCTGGCCAGCTTCTCAGCTGCGCTGAGCCCTATGTCACATGTCTTCGACGCTGAGGCAGTTGGTGCCTGCCGGGCATTAGAGTGCACTGTGAAGCTCCTACCTTGTGTCACAGAGGACGGCAGCAACCCTCAGATCTGGCTCTGCCTCGACAACACCTCAGTCATCTGGGGCATACGGGGCAGTGCAGCAGCCTCCTCAAACTGGGCCTACAACCGCTGCCATGAGCTCCTCAGACAGCACAATGTCGGCCTGAAGTGGGCTCCTGGGCATATGGGGATAGAGGGCAATGAGGAAGCAGACCGCTTGGCTAAGCAGGCAGTCTCATCCACTGCAGCCCCAGCCTATGGTCTCGAGGCCACACCCACAGTCAGTGGGGTCCGCACAGTGGCCAAGCAGCTCAGCCAAGAGGCAAGGCGAAAGTGGTGGAGTGGAGCCTGTGGCAAGCTCTCTGACTGGTACCGGGGCTGGAGTTTCAGCAGGCCGACTGTGGAATACCAAGTGAAGGCCCCTCCGGAGCTCACCATGCCACGGCATGCCCTTCACCGCTGGCTCGCACTCCGCTCCTCTCATGGGGACTTCTCCTGGTACCACAGGCGTTTCCAGCATGCAGATGCGAGGCTCACCTGTGTCTGTGGACACAACAAGAGCCCAGAACATTTGGTGCTCTGTCGACACTCACAGAGGCACTTTCTTCACTGGCCCAAGAGGCCAGCAGCACGGCCACACAACCGGGAGACAGCTGTTGCCTATCTAGGGTCTCTGACCCCTACAGACTTTGTAGAACTGCTGGACTGCACGCAGTTCTACACACGGTACTGCACAAGGTAACGCAGCCGGCTGGCTGCAAACCATCTGACAACCCCCGCAGCAGTTCCACGAGGCCAGCCTGCTGAGTACACCCACGGTAGCTAGTGCAACTGCCAGGGACATCACAGTCTATGCAGACAGTACAGATAGCACAACTAGGCTCATCTGTCTCAATTAGCTGTGGTGTAATCAGTACAGTCCACGTGTCTGACTCAGCTGATATGGTTTTGACTGCCGGCATTGTATCTATGCGTGCTCTGCTTTGTTTTCCTCTCGTTTGCCCTTGTCTCTATCGGCTCAAATGCTTCTTCTTCCTTCTTTTCTTTGCTCTCTCTGTCATTCTCTGCTCTTTTCCTGTCACAACCTTCTTCAGTGCTCTCTCCTTCATTATTTATCTTGTCTGTCTTTCTTCTGATGTTAGAAGCACAGACAGCTTTCTGATCAACTGAGAGAGGTATCCCTCTCTGCTCACTATAAAGCCTTCCAGGCACGGCAGCGGCGGTCCCCTCAGGGAACCACACTATAGCCCCACCATGAATGGCCATACGTCGGGCCAGAAGTGGATGCGCAGCTCAGAAAAATCCTTTGCAATGAGCTGAGTCTTCTCAAGAGTTGCCACCTGGATTCTGTTTTCTCTCTCTGTGTACATAGAAATCTCTCCAGCGTAGCACGTCTCCATGCCCTTCGGGAGGCTTCTGAAACACGGGCGCTGCCCGTGTTTTCTCCGGGACGTTAAACCTATACATACATACATACATCATACAATATTCTTAATGTGCTGAGTATTTCTGATAATTCAGTGTTTGTATAGTATTCTATAAGCTTGCGGTTCAAATGAAATAATCAAATTCATTCATAAAACTTTTCATTGTATACCATCCTTCTCTGTGCCGCTGCTGAGTAGCAATCGCCTCGGTGCTGTCACATTACAATAGCATTGAATTCCATCTGTATGAGACTGTCTTGGAAAATCTTGTGCAATCAATTGCTCAAATGAGATGATTTGAAATTGAATATATTTTTCATATTTTATATTGTTTTCTTTGTTATTTGAATATGATATTATAGCTTTTCAATTATCTTCAAGGAGAATAATTGTGAGAAGAAAGTAATTGAACAATTTGATTGAAAAGAAAAAGAGTTATTTTCTTCATATATTCACAATTTAGAGCAGTCAGAAACTTTAGAATTTAATTTATTGAATATAAATTATAAATTAAAAAAAATGATATCATAATTTATAAAATCAGTTTGAATAATGAAGAGTTGAAAGATTTTTTTACAGATGTCAATTAAATTCTATAAAAATTAATATTTTTCATATTGCTCATATTCATATCAAATGATTTGATTAACTGTCTTTAAATGATAATGTTTATATTGCTGAAATAGCACCTCATCTAGTGGTTGTAGTATATGTGTTGAATATGAAGGAAATTCATATAGAATTATCTTGTGAAGATTGCAGTATTGCAGAAATTCTTCAATGCAATGAAATTCATAATTATCAAGAAATAGCAATTGATGATTGTTTTATTGATGTTTTTTAATAATTTTATTAAAGTATTGAATTCAAATAAAGTCAATCTCATCATTGATATAGTCAGTATCTGTGTCACACCCTTGGTTGTGCCAAGGCCCCGTGACGGCTCCACACGGCCCATCGTTTCCCCTCGGATAATCCCATGACATCACGCAGGTGTCCGAACCGGTTTCCAACCACCCTATGACATCATTCGGATGCAATAGAAGAGGATCCGATTGATGAGATATGAGAATCCTGTTTCTATACGGGGTCTGGATTCCTTCTGGCAGATCAATGCAGCGCCACTGCGGAGTTGCTTCGGCTACCCTCGCTTATAGAGTGAGGGGAGGATGGCTGCCCGTTGTCTATATAGAATAGCTAGATGCTGGCTCTCTATTCCAGGAGCCAGCGATTCGTCTTTTATCTTTTGACAATAAGATACCAGAGTTACCACTGTCCTCATACAATATTCATAGTGTGCCGAGTACCTCTGGTAGTTCAGTATTTGTATAGTATTCTACGAGTTCGCGGTTCAAGCGAGATAATCAAGCCCACCCATAAGGCTTCCCATTATATACCATCCTCCTCTGTGCCGCTGCCGAGTAGCAATCGCCTCGGCGCCGTCACATTACAATCTGACATTATGATTGTATATTCACTCAGTAGATTGCTTTGTATATATCAATCTTTGAAATGAGTTTTGAATTTTATAATAATAAAAAGATTCAATATCTCATTATCTGCTGAAATACATTCAATCACAGTGATTAATTCTTGAAAATATGATGAAGTTATAATTGAATTTAAATTTTTAAAAACAGTAATAACTCATTCTCTATGTTTTTAATCTTTTCGAAAGCCAATTTCATCAAAGTTGTAGATATCACAGATTTTGAAATGTATACTTTTTGAAATAAAATTTTCAAACAATCAAATCACATTTTTGATGTAATTAATATTTTTTTATAACCAGTTCCTTTTCAGATTTATTGTCCTTCCTGGCT